AATTTTGCTCAGCAACACCATTTTTTCTTGGTACCATTGCATTCAGCAGATTCTCAGCTTTCAGATTATTGTTGAGAGATTTTGCTTTGTTCAGGAGATATAACTCATTTTCTAACGATAATGATTTTATAGGTATTTTCTCAGCTTTCAGAGAAGCATACATATTATAGAACGTTTTGCATAATTAACTTATATTATACAGCTCATTTAAGCACACTTGCCTTATATACAGCTGATCTTTCATCCGATCACCTCAAATAAGCTAGACATTATCGTCGCATAAAAGTTGTTTGAAATTGTGCGCTAAAATATTCACCCAGAACGTCGACTAACACAAACTCTGTAATGTATAGCTTTGTGGTTCACAAAATGATGACGCTAATAGAAACTTATCCGCTCCATGCTTCCTTGGCCACTTTTACAGCCCACAAGGTCGGAACGTCAGCCCTTCTCCAAAAAAACAAGTATAATTTGATCCAAATACTTGTAAAAGATTTCTTTCATTGCACAAAGACAGAAGTCTCTGACCACATGAGGTGTACGTAAAACCTGCTATAAATCACGATTATTCGGAATAGTTCTTCTNAGAAGTCTCTGACCACATGAGGTGTACGTAAAACCTGCTATAAATCACGATTATTCGGAATAGTTCTTCTTGAAATGACATATTTTCAGATGCACGATGTGATGCTGCCAATTTCTCTTCCTGTGCAATGCGGACTAAAATTACACCAGCATAATACCCCCGTTTGCTTATCTTACGTGTGTAAGCAATAAATGAAATGGAACAAATCAAAAACAATAACAGAGTTTATCTTCACAAACGAACGCACAAACAACGCAATGCAAAATAGTTACGAATAAATTGATTTCATTTATATGCATAACAACAATAATTAAACAATATGAATTATGAACGTGGTCTCTCTTTTTTGCCTTTGAACAGTGCAATCAACGACGTATTGGCAACTTTCACGATTTTGAATCGTACACCAGGAATATCACCGACAGCGTGACCTTTACGACCGAAACCTGCCACCAGAACCTCGTCGTTCTCCTCGATGAAGTTCAAACAACCGTCGTTTGGCACGAACGCTGTGATCTTTTTGCCGTTCTTAATCAACTGTACACGAACACACTTGCGGATAGCCGAATTAGGCTGTTTCGCTTCAACACCACTGAAATATCACGACGACCTTAACTCAAACAAATCTTTTCCTTATGGGTAAATCAAAGCCTGACTGAAAATCGTAATTTAATTCTCAGCGTAGGCAGAACTGTGAGACATTTTATGGGTTATTATGAGCGGGTTGTGAAGAACTCGATTTTCATCTATTTTTCGGAGTTTTTTNGAGACATTTTATGGGTTATTATGAGCGGGTTGTGAAGAACTCGATTTTCATCTATTTTTCGGAGTTTTTTCATTATTAAGGGTCCTAAGTTGTGTGCATTCAAACAGCTCAAACTATCCTTTCAAGTGAGCGAAGGGAAGAAGTACGCAACTGATCGGTAATGACTGAAGGTTAGAATAAAAATTCGGAAACGACAAAGGAGATGAAACGATGATACTATAAAAATTTTAAAATATGAGTATAATGATGGAACTAAACACGTACACTTTCTCAAGAACAATGCCTTTAGCGTGCGAAGCAGCACCGAATGGATTGGCCTTCCATCGTGTACCCAAATGTGCCTTCTTATATCCTTTGTCGTTCCAACGTTGAGCTTGACGGTGAGTTTTCAACTTACGGGCCGTACGGATGCCCTTTGGTTTGCCCATTTTGATTATTCAATTTAATATAACAATTCAAATCCTGAAAAAGGCACGAAATGAAATATTTGCGCAGAATTCNAAACATAAACTAGATACCAGCCTGTAGAAGCCTCTCAAGAATGTAGTTCAAAAAAATAAAAGGAGAACAGAAATTGAAACGGCTTGATAAATTGTAACTGAGCAAAGCTGCCCTGCAATGACTCTGATGAGTTATTTAACACAGCAGAGCCCATACTCAAAAAAGGCTTTAATCGCCGAATTCAGCATCGAATCAAGGCCAAAAACTATGCTCTGGTATGTTGTAGCATAAACTTCCTCAAAATCCAACAAAGTTACCCTCACGAAACCTCTGAAAAATTAAAAAAAGGTTTAAAATAGAATCATTTTAGAGATGAACATATTTTATCAGATTTACCGTATAGTGAACAAGTGCCTAATTGCGTATCACTAAGCACTTTTTAAAAGAACCTCTTATACAGCGCTCTATATTTGTGACGGTGGAACGATGACATACGATTTGGAAATGTAAGGCAAAGGTTACGAAGTCAAGGACTGAATGGGAGAGCATTATGGTCAGGAACTTTACGAGCATCTGATGATCTGGCTTATGTGGGCAATTCAGATGTATTCATGATGGAGCCAGAATTTGAGGAATTCGTATGCAGTTATGTTCACCCTCAATGCACACCTGATAGGTTCTAGGGGAAATCGACTAATTTTTTGCCCGTCAGGGTAACGCAAAGTTCGAAGCATCAAAGAATCCATAAATTTCCAAAATTTCCTCACGTCACAAGCTCACAATCAGTGGAAAAGATTAATCCAAAACGTTTTGGCAGATTACGACAAAATTATTCTAAAGCGAAGGATTTCGCTAGCTGCCGTGGATACTGAACCATTTCAAGAATGGATCTTTATCATGTTCAGTACACCCCATTCAAGAGTTCCTTGTCCGTTTTGCGCATCTCACAGAGGATGCTATCAGATCCAGTATTTTGGATGTGTCCTACTGAGATCCTTAGCATACGCAGTTTCAGTTAACAATGAAGTAACATTTTATTATTATCAAGTAAATCATTTGTTCAGTTACTGAAAATGTTTATACATTCTCGAATCTAAATTGATCGTTGGGGAATGATTCATCTATTTGTGTACTTCTAATTTAAGACATATTGCGGGCTCCCAAATTCGGTAACATGCTGCTCAAGTCAGTCTTGTAACTTGCTGGCCGAAAGGTTACAATATTTTACGAATGTGTCACTGATGAAGTATTGCTGCACGTAATTGAGGAATTTTTGTGGAAATGGTTTTTTTCGTTTCATTGGGAGAATGATTTTCATTTCATTCGGGCGTCGACTCCATTCCGATTCAAGTATTTCCGGAATCGTTTTGGACGAGAGGAAAGATCGGTGATAATCGTTTCAATGCTAATCTCAACGATTTCGCCTCTGCATCACTTTCAGTTATCAATATTGTAGTGGTGATGATAAGGACAGCCTCTTCACCATTTATCAATCACCTCAACAACAAATATTTTTTCGTATTTCTTCTAGAATATACATTTCACTTCCAAACTCCGTGTTTTATGACTGCTTTTTGCAGTGTTCAATTTCCAGCAAATTCATACAACAAGTTCAAGGTACACACCGTCTCTCTAAAGACTAATATTGATTTTTACGTCTCATATTTACAAAGTGCTTATCGTCTTGTATTCACCAAAAAATTGGATGAATTTCTCAAGATGCCTACGTGATAGAATAATCCAATTAAAATTTTGTGATTTTATCCGTAGTCAATAAATTTTCTCATAAACAGATGAAACGAGTGTTTCCATGGACTTTGTAGGGAATGTTTACACATTGCTTGAATTCGTCCCACAAAAACTTGTTTCCTTTTACCTTTTACCGATTACGTCAAAATATGGTTGACATCAAAAGTCACTGGTCGAAACATGTTGCTGGTGTTAGGAACGGTAAAAAACGGAATCATCGTAGGAATGTTAAAGTGATCGTTTATCACAATTCTGAAGCTCTGTTTTTTTTTGTGAACATTTCATTGAAAGCTGATTGCACACGGTGACATTTCCAACCAAACTACAGTTCGTTTTGATGCCTTATAAAATAATTTCAAAAGAGACAACGAATTTAGCAGATTGAGTTTCTTATGAAACGGTTGTTAGAAAGGATATTTTAGTGGCCAACCAATTTAGTTCCTGACATCAAAATTTTCTTTAAGTATTCTTCCTCATCCTCTATCTAAAATAAAGGCTCTCTATTGATCTGCCCAACTCAAATTTTCAAATATTTGTGTTTTTTAAGCCTCAGTCAATCGATTTGTTTTTGCTTTCAGAGCTTACGTCAGTGGCTAAATCGTAAGCAAAGAAGCACTCGTCTTGTTCTGAACAGTTGTAATGTTATTAGGTGCTTCTAGTCTAAACATGAGTAAATGAATATGAGATTGCAACTGTCTGTATTCGTTGGTTGTGTACGATTCTCTACAAACACCATTCAACTCATTCTGCAAATGTGTTTTTCGTACTCGTAGAAAGAAATACTCTCTGTGTTCTTTCAGCAGTCAGTTCAAAACAGCGAGAAACAACCGCTTTATAACATTCAGTTTGTAGAGACGTTTCCATGGGCTGTGTTCGCAAGCGATACGCATTCATTGCTGACGGTGTTGATTAAGTCGACAAAGCATTTCATGTTTACTTCTGACGATATTTTCACCAAAGTACAAAATTTCTGTCTTTATATCTCGCTTTCACGGATGTGCAGTATAATTAAGAAATTTTGACGAAATTCTAGTGTGAAACAATGAGGATTTCAATCATTTTTTTGAAAAAATTGTAGTATTTCGATGAAACATGATGTTGATTTAGTAATTTGTGAAAATTTTATAGCCTTGATTGATTGTTTCGAATATTGTGTGATGAGTCGTTTTTCTTGAATTAAGCAGCAATTTCACATAAATTTCATGTTTTCGTTGAAATCTCCTATATTGATTATTCGATCGACGTTGTGCAAATTTTCCTCACGAGCAATTTTACTTGTCAGCATTTATCTGCAGCAGTTTTTTGCTCACAATCAACACTTCCTAGTTTTATTCAACCGTTATCCAAGCGGTTGTGTTTTGCCAGCAAAAATTGGAATTTTATAAAATTTAGTTTCTTTTCATTTACTATTTATTGTTAATTGCATCCTACAAAACACATCTTATATGCTTACATTGTTTCACCATTATCCTCTTAATGCATCCTCAAATGTCACAAATATATTACAATAATTTACATAAACTCGATATTAAAACAGTTTCCGATTAGATGTATAAATCAGTTGAGTTGCTTCACCCTCGTCAATAAAACCTTTCATTTGTCGTGTCGATAGTTTCTCTCATTTATGCGCAACTAGTCAATATCGTTAGTGTTTCACATTCTTGAACTATTGTTTATATATGCTGATTTCAGGTCTGATTGCTTTATTGGCAAAAATAGCGAAACTCGGCAGTTGAACGTGATGTTCCGATCAGTCTTTGTGCGTTTGTTTATCCATTATTGGTACCGTTATGTTTTTATGCTTGAA